CTTCCTTAAGTTCCTGTGGAACTTCCAATGCTTCAGTTTGAAGCCATTTCCTCTAGTCCTATCACTGTCCACCACTGAAAAGAGGACACCCCCCTCCTCCTCACTGCCTCCCTTGAGGTATTTATACACGCTGATCAGGTCCCCCCTCAGCCTCCTCTTCTCCAGGCTGAACAGACCCAGCTCTCTCAGCCTTTGCTCATAGGGCAGATGTTCCAGGCCTCTGATCCTCCTGGTAGCCCTGCGCTGGACTCTCTCCAGCAGCTCCACATCCCTCTTGTACTGGGGAGCCCAGAACTGGACGCAGTACTCCAGATGTGGCCTCACCAGGGCTGAGTAGAGGGGGATGATCACCTCCCTTGACCTGCTGGAGACGCTYTTCTTAATGCACCCCAGGATCCCGTTGGCCTTCTTGGCCACCAAGGCACACTGCTGCCTCATGTTCAACTTGTCGTCCACCATGACACCCAGGTCCCTCTCTGCGGGACTGCTCTCCAGCAGGTCCACCCCTAATCTGTACTGGTGTCCAGGGTTATTCCTCCCCAAGTGCAGGACCCTGCACTTGCCCCTGTTGAACCTCATGAGGTTTCTCRCCGCCCAGTCCTCCAGTCTGTCCAGGTCCCTCTGGATGGCAGCACAGCCCTYAGGGCTATCARCTACTCCACCCAGTTTGGTATCGTSGGCAAACTTGCTGAGGGAGCACTCCAGCCCTTCATCCAGGTCGTTAATGAATAAGTTGAACAGGACCGGACCGAGAACTGACCCCTGGGGGACACCACTAAGTACAGGCCTCCAGCTGGACTCCGCACCATTGACAACCACTCTCTGCACCCTGCCATCGAGCCAATTCCTAATCCACCTCCCTGTCCACACATCTATCCCACACCTTTGGAGCTTGCCCAGGAGGATGCTGTGAGGGACAGTGTCAAAAGCCTTGCTCGAAAAAAGCCTTGCAAATTTGCAGTGTGATAGGGCATCATGGATCACTGGAGAATCTCAGAGGCCAATGGAACTCCTTTCTTCAGAAATCCTTCAGTCAAATGCAATCGAGCAGGCTTGAGCACCATAATCTCTGAACAGATGGGGCACAGGGAACAGAGCTACTGAAGTTCAGAATTCATCCCTCACGCATTATAAACAGTCCATTGCAGGGTCATAGGGAAGTCTAATTCACAAGTTATATTACAAAGTCAAATGCCATCATTAATATATAAATATATATATTTAAGTGTGTGCATGATTGCTTTTSAGGACCAGGCCCTTATACTGGGCTCCCCAGTATAAGAGGGACGTGGAGCTTCTCGAGAGGGTCCAGAGAAGGGCAACCAAGATGATTAAGGGAATGGAACATCTCCCGTACGAGGAGAGGCTGAGTGAGCTGGGCCTGTTTTCTCTGGAGAAGAGAAGACTCAGAGGGGATCTGATTAACATGTATAAGTTCAGGAAGGGAGAATGCAGGGAGGAAGGGGACAGGCTGTTTTCACTGGTGGCCAGCGATAGGACRAGGGGTAATGRCCAYAAGCTGRAGCACARGAAGTTCYGTCTCCAGGTGAGGAGGAACTTCKTTCCTGTGAGGGTGACAGAGCAGTGGAACAGGCTGCCCAGGGAGGTTGTGGAGTCTCCTTCTCTGGAGGTCTTCAAAATCCGCCTGGATGCCACCCTGTCCCACACGCTCTGGGTGTGCCTGCTTGAGCAGGAAGGTTGGACTAGATCACAGAATCACAGAATATTCAAGGTTGGAAGGGACCTCTAGAGATCATCCAGTCCAACCTTCCTRTAGTAGTCAACTACCACAGTAGTAGATGATCTCTAGAGGTCCCTTCCAACCTTGAATATTCTGTGATTCTGTGAAATACTGTGATGCACACATTTTTATTAAATTTATTTTTGCCATGTTTCAACATAGAGGAAGAAAGACATATTACTTAGAGATTACTTAGAGATTAGGTATCCTAATCCCACTGGTTTTCAATAGGAAAGTTTCATTGTCCATCCTTCCCGTCACAGCCCTCAGCCACTGAGGGCTAAAACCTGCAGCAAACCCACCCTTTACTGAATGCCATGCAAATCCAAACAGTGCTGAAGTTGTGTGTCTGACTGGAGAGACATACAAGAGACAGCCTCCCTGGTACATGAAAAAGAAGAAAAACTGCAGTGATCAGAGCTAGCAATTACCTTCAACAGAACATGGATAAASTCTCCTTCTCTGGAGATCTTCCAAGCCTACCTCAATATGACCAGGTGCCCACTACTCCAGGTGTYCTTAGTTGAGCAGAGAGGCTGGACTAGATGATCCCTTTCAACCTCAATCATTCTGTGATCAGCCAATAACATCAATCTGGTGTGGCAAACCAATTTAAATGCCTACATAGTTGAACTTTTGTTAGAAACCTCAATTTCCTGTTAWGGTAGGCACTTGTGTTTCCATTTATCTCTTTACTCAAGGTCAAGTAGTAACATTATATGGTATTTTATCATACTTAAATGGTGGGACAGTGTTTTGTAAAGAAGGAATCAGGCAGAAGGACCTGCCTTAAGAAGATCTCAGGCATCTCAGATAYTTCCTCACTTGGCAGCACACTGCCATGGCCTCACTTTTGCCATTGCTACCTAACTTGCATTCAAAACTGATCTGTAAAACTAACCTATGTCTTGTATAATAATGGTTAATAGCTAGAAAAAATAACATTCATTAAGGACAGTGTTTTTTGGTTTTTTATTTTTTATTTTAATTTGACTCATAGCTTGTAAAAACCCCTGTCCTGAATACTTCAGATGAAATTAGAAAAATATTTATATGAACAACCCTGCAAAGTTCTTTATTTATCTCTTTCAACTTCTGGCAGATATTATCTACTGGACAAGCAGGGAAACTAGTGATTTCTGAGTTTAGGTGGTACTGTGGGAGAYAAAACTTGCTTTCATGTGGCAAATCCCCAGTGCAGTAAGGAATGAAACACTAATATATTAACAGAGACAGGAAAAGAAGCATTTGGAGAGATATTTGCTACAGTAAGCTTAGCATTGAACAACCTTCTTGTAATTCACTTATTCACTTTTGTGAGTAATCTTACGAATAAGGAAGGAAGGAAGGAAGGATGCAGGAACTACAACATAGACTTGCAAGTCCTGCTCTGAACACTAAAACATCTTAATTTGACTCTGAGGAATGAAAAATACTTCTAAATATCTGTCTAGGCTTACAAATACTAAAGTTGTACCTGCACATTATAATAATGGTGGGAAGTAGCAATTCACAAACTGAATACTTGAAATACAAGTAGGTAAGCGTCATACAAGTGGCACTGAAACATGTAGCCAAGATCCAGGGAGGGGGTTATTTGCAACATCTTCCACAAAATTTTTATGACTTATGAATATTTATTTCATGGAAGAATCTTCCATATCCAAAGAAAAATTGTTACAGACAGGCTAATTAGTATTGATATGAAGATTTTCCATCTATATAATATTTTCTTCCTTTTTCTTTTTCATTTGCAGAACATGGAAAACATGTAAGCATATGTTTTCTAAGTGCCTAAACTATGAAGAGAAAAAAAACAGTGCTTTTGCAAAGAACTRGTTCATCAGCTTTTTTTTTCTAAACAAGTTTCCAGCTAACTTATTTCTATAATATTGAACTGAAAGTTTTAAAAAGTAATTCACTTTAATAAAATTCAATATATTTAGAATATAACTGTAGTAAACTATGTTCATAAAAAATATAGGTCCAAAATGATGTTTGTAGCACTGAGGTGCAACGTTTCTCTAACAGGTCATAAAAGACTCTTTTTTAGTATTCACTCTATTTTATGATAATCGATAAATAAATAAAATAGATCCAGGCATATAATCAAAACAAACATCTTGCAAAAAATGTATTAATAAGTTATTGCCTATCATGCTCATTTTCATAGTTCAGCAATTGGTTTGGTCACACTGAATTATTTTTTACTGCTTCATCACAATCTTAAAGGATATGGTAATTTTAGGTTCTCTCTGTCCTAGCACATGCTTACTTAATTCCAAAGCTTTTAAAAGAGTGTCACTGCACCACCATTCTGCACCACCATTAMATGCACTTGCAAAGCCTCATCATAGATGTTTTTCCATTTGAATATCAACTCAGCATTATAACTGACCACAGGAATCCAGACTGCTTGGAGTTTACCTTCAGCTCCTATAATTTTTTACTGTTTGTCAAGAGCATCAGATTATGTTATTGCTGTTTCAATTAAACAGTATATAACTARAAGTAGCATCAAAAATTTTCTAGAAGTATAGTGTAAGAGTCACACGAGAAGAGATATAGAGGAAACCACTGGAAAAAAAMCCTACACATTATTCATAGATGCTTTAGAAATTAGTGTTAAACAGAAATACTGTAGCAAGAAAAAGAATTCCAAAAGATAAAGCAATACAATTAAAAAATAACAGTGATATGGAATCTCTACCATGAACGAATTTTCACTTTAACAAACTATTTTTCCAGCTTTTTGCAGTACCTTTCACAATTTATAGTTATGTTTTCAAAAAGACTTTTTTTTTCTTTTCCCCTTGTAATGAAGCAATAAGGCAGATTTAGACGAGTTAAGGCTTCATCTTAGACTTCCAWGGAATTTTGGTGAAGGAAAAAATAAAAGGATGACCACAAGCAGGATAGTCACAAACCATGCGAAATAAAAGGAGAATCCAAAAGCATAGTATTCGAGAGCATCTTAAATGAAAGTTGCAGTCTTGGTAAAGAAAAATATTTGTCTGCCAATGGCCTATGTAGGGCAGTATTTCTGCATCTTGCATTTGCTTTGGAAGCAGTGAACCACTTTTACTGTGATAAGGAAAAAAAATAATTTAGAAGTGAAAAAAAATTAAAAATACAACCAATGAATTTTAAGGTTGAGGAGTCTAAATTGTATTTCACTATTGTCAGTCACCCAGTTAACAAGGGAAAAAGGGAGGTCGAGCATTAAGTTTAAAATGGATGTCTTCATTTTCAYAGTTACCTTTAGGTCCTTTGAACAACTTGATCTCTACCACGGTCTCCAGAATAGGTCTCCTGCGGCGAACATACAGTCGGACTATGGAGCCAGCCTCTTTCAGGGCCTCCACAGCTTTGCTGTGTGAGACTTCTGACACATCAACCTCATTCACTCGCAAGATGCAGTCATTGACCCTGCAAGAAGGACAGAAAAAACACAGATAGTAAATGCTTCAGCTGGTATCTTGGACTGCTCTGTCAGTTGTGTAAAATGAAACCAACACTTCACTGCAAAGTTTGCCAAACACATTCAGCGCAATGTGCCTCATATGTGAGRATGCTCAGGGAATTGGAATGATTATTGGCCCCCAAACAATGCACCTGATTTGATTTAAACCCTAGTTATTCACCTCCATCCCCTGTTCTCCTCCACAATTTGGAGCTGTATCCATTACAATGATATAAATGAATAAGAAACAGTTTGTCCACTTTGCAGAGACTTTATTGAAGTAACTTTTACTCAACGATATAATCAAGTTACAGCATCCAGGCTTCATGCTATAAAGCTATTACTGCTATGCTTGCTCTTTAGGAAAACAATTGATTTAGCTTAGTAGAGACAGAACAGTAAACATTCAAATATCTCCTTAAACCAATTTGAATCATAAAAGTACAAATGCTGTCCTACAGAAAACAGGCAATTTAAAATGGTCATTTCATACTAAATAATTTAAGTAAATATCACTGCTCATATTTTCATCACTAACAGGTCTGAGACCTGCTGTGTGGTAATACCATCTATTTTATTAAAAAAAAAAAAAAAACTACTAATGAAATTCCCTCAAAACCTTATTAAAGGCATCTACTATATTATCTTAGGATAAACTAATTTATTGACTCTCAAAATGTCCTGTTTAGGGTAGTATTCTCCCTACATTATAGATTTGTCTGGAAGGGAAATTTGTAGTCTAAGAACACTAAACCCAAATTCTAAAGCACTGGGCTAAGAGCTTAACTGCTGAACCATCTTATCTTTAGCAATGCTTGGGAAGAGGGGACACACAAGTGCCAAAAAAACGAGGTGAACTAAAACTACATTGTTCTTATGCATGCAAATTTTGTTTGCTGTGAGATGCTTGTACGTAATTTAGGTACTGAAGAAAACAGCAAATATATATGAGCGTGTTATTCTATTTGACTAAAGGGACAATCAGTGAAGAAAATAAAGGATGCTAAAATATTCCCGCTTCCCCCGTATATTTCCCTTAACATTTTATGCAAAAGATCAAATATGAAAATAACCCATTGCAGCAAGAGAAGACTTGAATAGTACATTGCTTAGGAGTCCTAGCACAGAGGGAGAATGAAGTGAGAAAAAAAATATAACATATCTCTGAGAACTTGGATTTTTGTTTTGTTCTTAAGCTGTCATTTTTATTAAGAAACTGTTTGAAACCAAAACATATTGTTTTGTCAGCCTTTTGAAGCAACATTTATAGAGCGAAAGGAAGTCCTTAGAGCAGCTTTCAACTGACAATGGTTCCATTTGGAAAGGAAAGAAAATTGAAGTGTCCTTTCTGATAAGCACTGATGTATTGCAAAATTTCCAGTTTGCATTCAWTGATCTGATCTGTTGCTTTCCTTCCCTGACAGAAGTATTAATTCTCCAAATGTATAACTGGGTGGTTTGGCTGTCAAATTAATAAGTGCTCTAATATAAATTGCTTGCTTTTAAATAATGCTTTTAAATAAATCATGAATGCATCCTGCTACCACTTCCTACTTAGACATACAGTAATTATGTCTAAGGTGCTGTTCTATCTTTCTATTGATATTGTCGTGTATCTGATTCTTGCCATGTATCTGATTCTTTTCAAATTTTGGACTCTTATTATTACCATAGCTACTGTTGGCCGTATAACACCTAATGAACAAATCAAAATCCTAACCATTGCATAGTTTTGAAGATGAAAAGGGGAAAAAATGTAAAATGCATTTATGTTGTCATATACTTTATGCCTGGCAATGATGAATATCAACATTACTACATATCCTTGTATATATAAAATTTCCTACAAAGAAACRCTCTAGTGATGCCTCCTGCTAAGAGATAAGTCCTGTACTCTACAGAGAGTCAATAAAAAACATAAAATCATACTTAACTTGCCCAAACCAGTAAGTCACATTCATCCACCTACCGAAAATGCAAAAGCCTTTGGAAGAAGATGTGTACGGCATACCAGACTTCGCATCTCAGTGTTCAAACTCTGCCATTCTAGATTTAAATGCTTTTTAAAAATATAACCRTCTTTTATAAACCATGCAAAAATTAATGCCATTACAGGATGAATATAAGAGTAACAAAATACGAAGTTTCTCCTATGCAAGCAGGATGCCAATAATTACCCTATCCAATCTGTTATGATGAGCACACACACAGTTCTACATATTCAGGTGCACCTTTCTGATCCCATAGATTATTTTCTCTCTCACAGGCAAAGAGTTTCCTGCAACTAAAAGAAGTGCAATATTCAGGAGCGTATACATATGTGCATATAAGTTTTGTTTTTCCCCTCAAAGCTATGCAGAAGGCTTTCAGGGCCCATGTTTTGCATAGCGCTGTTATTTCAAGACAGAAGCCTGTGGCAGAAGGCTTAGGACACTCTTCCCTTCTATCCAAATCTTCAGAGCAGTGTTCTCAGCAGTTTCAAGCTCTGCTCTCCTAGTTACCTACCAATACTGCAGCAACATAAACCTAAAGTAAAATAGCAAAATATGGCACTAAACCAACTAATTAAAGCACTGTTCTTTAAAGACTTCATAGCAATTTGTTCTAGACCTGCCTCTCTCCTCCTAAGCTTATAGATTTTAAGAAACCGTGCAGGCATCAGTCTAACATGGTGCCAAAGAGTCCTCAGCAATACCCTGCTGAGAAGTATTAGCCCTTGTGTGGGTCCATAAAGGAGCTAAGTTGACACCACAGCAATTGACTGTGGATATTTTGCAACTTGTGGGGCCCAAGAACTCAGGCAGGGACATGGAGATCTCTTGGGACCAGCACAACACTGAAATGTTGAACCCACAAGGCACTCTCAGGTCCTGCTCAAACCAAGGTCCACTGGCTTGAAAAAACGGGACAGATCTGTACAGAACTGGTACAATAATGATAATATTGAAAATCTTGAAGTTATCCACGCTTCATAGCTGTTATGAAGACATCTCCAATGTAATCTGTRGTCTATTAACAGGGTAGTCCTGCTTCTCAAAAAAAAAAAACTCAGTAAACTTGCTTTCCATTTATGTATCGCAGAGTAGTGACCACTAACAGATTATTTCCAAGTAAATCTCTCTTTYTCCACCATCTTTTCCAAAATGATGAAATTGATCTGGAGTTAATCTTTCAGCAAAGCTTTGCAGTCAAGATAAAAATACTGTTATTAAGGGAAGATCAGGGCAAAATTCCTTAGGTATCAGGTAGGCAAYGTAAGACAGAGGACTTGAGTTTCACTTCACTGCCTTGTTTCTGCTCTGTCTAATCACTTTCCTCAAACTTTGATAGGGCTATCAAAGAGTTGGTGCTTGCTTTCTTCTAGAAATCATGCTAACACACCACTTTCAGCAGGAAGATTAAAAGAGACAAGCTACAGGGACTAGTTATTATCCTGTTCCAAAGAAACAGATGAATCATAATATTACCTGACCCCAGGAGAATCAGTCCAGCAGGTTATGAACACAGATAGGTAGGTGTCTCTTTTTATTCATTTATTTTTAACCCTGTTATGCACCCTCTCTCACGTTAAAAAGAATTTACAATATATGAGGGTCGGGAGAGTGGAATTCTTGTTACTTCTTTCTAAGGAGAAATGCATTTTATTATTATTTTTAATCATGAATTCAGAATAAAGGCTGGGATCTCAATTTTACTACACAGCAGCCCTCAGATCTGCCATTCCAATTAGAGAAAATAGAGTTAAAACTAAATGGCAATGACATACATATACCATATGTTTGCTTAGGAAGACCCTAATACCCTTTATTCAGCTATTCACCAGGCACATCATCCAATTTCAGTAGAAAATTCACATTTACACTCACGTCCTTTTATGATATTGTAAAGCAGTACAAAGTTGCTGTTATATCTAATTTAAAAATAAGTGGATCAACCTTTACAGAAAAGATCTCATTTGCCATTTTTGGTTCTTTTTTTTGGAAACTAAAAAGCATCAAACACTTATGAAAATATATTTGAAGGTACTATCCAATCCAAATGCAACATTTGACTCTATATTTTATGAAGAAATTACAAATCATCTCACAGAACACTTACAGGTTTAAATACGCTTGATAAAAGGCATAGCTTTGGCAGAAAAAAAAAAACAGAATTTAACTGGGTTTTAGACAAACAACACAAATCTATAACAGAAAACCTTGCTGTATTTTAACAGCAATTAAAAAATGTAAAAGCAAATGTATGTTATGCATTGCCTTATTTGATGTGTCATCAAATCTAACCTATTCCTCTAGCAACAGCAGACTAGTCTGCATTCCTGAGGAGCACAAATAAGAACTAAAAATTAAATATTGCATTACTGAGAAGATGGCCTGCCTTCTTTAAAATCTTTTGCAAGTGAGACCATTCAATTACAACTCAATAGCTCAAAGAACAATACAATATAATTCTTTATTTTAGGACACCGCCTGGCACCTTAATCCCAGCAGTTCCTGTGCAGCCTTCAGAAGTCACTTGTTTTTTCATAGTCTTTTAAGAGAGGACTAAAAGCCCGCTCATTTTCCACTTTCTTTGCCTCCTGTTTTCAGTCTAAATAAACTTTCTGGAAAAGACTCTACACCTTCCTGGCTCATCTCAAAGACTGCCTAATCCCCACTGCAGCTTCTAAGCACATCAACATAAATAATACATACAAAATAAAAGCAGCTCTCTGCCTTTCCCTGGCTGCATTCGCCCTTGTCATGGGTCCCCAGAGTACAAGATGAAGACTGAAAATTCTGCACTTCACAGAGCTTGCAGGTTGCATGCATGTAAAGACAAGAACTACTCTCTTCCCCTGCATTTCTGTAAGTAAATACAAAGAGGTGGAAGTTTTCTCCACCTGTGCTGGCAAACCAGTTCCCGTGTGTCAGCTGCGTGGCGCCCCAAGGCTGCRGTGGCTGAGCTAGCAAGTGCTGCCAAGAGC